TGCAATTTTCTAAACTCTTAAACCTACATAATGTTAACAACATATGCACAGGACTGTATATGTAGCTACTAAATTTTACCAGAACAGCAGCAGCTCTGGGGTCCGGTCCGACTCAGTTCCATTTCTGCAGACCTACACTGCAGCGATGAAGTCCACAATCAAGGTTCTAAACTCTTAAACCTACTAATTTTAACAACATACTTATATGCAGCTACTAAATTTTACTCACTAGCTCTGCAGAACAGCAGCGGCTCGGTTCCGCTCCGACTTGGTTCAGTTTTTGCTGACCTGCTCTGCCGGTTCTGGTCGTCTCTCTGGCTCGGGGTAGTGGCGATGGGCTCTGGATGGAGCGCCAGACCTTTGCCAGCACACGTCCCACTTGGAAGTCCTCGTGGGCTGGCTAACGACTCTCAAGATTCACCGATGGGTCTGGAGTCCAGTTCTGGTCCCGTTCGGTGGGTTCTGTGCGGCTCTCTGCATCCACTGGGTGCCAAAGTCACTGTAATAAGCTTCAAACTTTTTCTGAGCAGGTCAAAATTTTCCCTCTAGTATTTCAGCAGAAGGGAACGGGACTTCTGGGCAGGGCCCTGTTGGCTTCTGGGAAATGTAGTCATTATGAGTGGGGATATAGTGTAGGCTTACTGAGAGAGAACTACAAAATGAAGGCGCCTGTCTGAAGTATTTTATCTTTTGCTAACTTTTTACTGTACAGTATCTAGTACTGTCCCAATCACATGAGTAATATTAAAGTTGACAATCATGTGTCCTGTACAATTTTTTCTTCTCGTGTTCAATCTTTGAAAAACCGCAATGGAGCAAGTCCGCGAAAGTCGAACCGCGAAGTAGCGAGGGACTACTGTATTTTAAAAGTCAGGATGTAGTAATTGTGGCACAAAGTAGTTTAATAATCTTGCTGCTGACTGGAACCTGAAGGGACAACACGAGGAATGCAGAGGAAATTATGCATCGTGTTTTATTCATATTTAGCCAAATGTACCAAACAACATCAGATAAGTTTGTCCCCTTACCTCAGTCTTGTGGTGTTTCCACCCACAAAAGGCAGGGACAAAAAGCAAGAGCTGAAAATGTGCGCTGAGGAAAGACGCAGATAGAACTGATTTTTATTTATCAAATACGTCACAGTTCTTTTCTTTGTTTTCATCATTATGACAGGTTCTTTTCAACTGTATAAACTCAAGCTACCGTTCTCTTTCTGACTCGCTCCTTTCCTGCTCCTGCAGGAGGAGGCCAAGCAGATTCTGAGCCAGCAGAAGGCCAGCAGTTCCCGCTCAGACTCTCGTGATGAGGAGGTGTCTCCACCCATGAACCCCGTGGTAAAGGGTCGCCGACGAAGAGGCGCCTTCAGCGCAGAGGTTTACACAGAGGAAGATGCAGCCTCGTATGTCAGAAAGGTTAGCGCAGACACCGAGGACTCAAAATAAGCTACAAGCAACGTCTCCATTTGTTTGGCACCACTAAATTTTAACATTTGTTTTCTTCCTGATATTAAAGGTCATTCCAAAAGATTACAAAACAATGGCTGCTTTGGCTAAAGCTATCGAAAAGAATGTGCTCTTCTCACACCTGGATGACAACGAGAGGAGGTAAGGAACTTCAGTAATTTTTAAGACGTTTTAAACACAGTTTGAATGTTTCCACAGCTGTGGTCAGCAGATCAGCTCATGAATCTGTTCTCTTCCAGTGATATATTTGATGCAATGTTTCCAGTCACCTACATTGCTGGGGAAACCGTTATTCAGCAAGGTAGAAATTAATATTCAAGTGTTGATGCAAAGTTATTTAAATTGTTCATCACCGTAACATGAAACGTGATGTTTTCTATCTCCAGGTGACGAGGGCGACAACTTCTACGTCATTGACCAAGGGGAGATGGATGTGAGTGTCGGCTCACGTAGGTTTATAAAAGCACGTTTTTGGTCACTTTTCAAGCCACGCTTATCCGATCTGACAGGTATACGTGAACAACGAATGGGTGACCAGCATCGGAGAGGGGGGGAGCTTTGGAGAGCTGGCGTTGATCTACGGCACCCCGAGGGCGGCTACAGTCAGAGCCAAGACGAACGTGAAACTGTGGGGCATTGACAGAGACAGCTACAGGAGAATACTTATGGTGAGGAAACCTTTAGTTTTTGATACTGTGGAACATCAGATTGTAAAGCCTGATGGTTAAGTGGTGGGTGTCTAAGCTCCAAAAAATGTTTTGAGTTTTTAATTTGAATGGATTTCCATGAATGCAAACTTCATTTTCTTTAGGGAAGCACTTTGAGAAAAAGGAAGATGTACGAGGAGTTCCTCAGGAAAGTGTCCATTTTAGGTGAGTTACCGTATTTTCCGGACTATAAGTCGCTCTTCATTCATTCAACCTTTATTTAGACGGGTAAATCCCATTGCGCCTCGAGGACTCATTTACAAGAGAGACCTGATTACAAGATTAATTATTAATTTATGCATAATTTATTCATAGTTTGGCCAGTCCTGCGACGTTTACTCCGAAGCGACTTATTTACGTTTTGTTCCCTATTCATGACGCAATTTTTGGCTGATGCGTTAAATGTTAATTCATACTGACATGAACCAAAGAGTAAACATTACCATTTGCAGCTGGGAGAGGGCTCTTTAGGCTTTTGACAACTATATGTTGTTCCTCTTCTGATACCACCCCCCCTCTCTGAACGGAGTTGTTCAGAGGCGACACAGAGGATGGTAACTTGCTTGTCGGACTCATTGGCTTGTTATGTTAATTAAGCCTGTTCAGGATCCCAGGTATGTTCTGTGTGTGTGTGTCGTACACAAACATATAACCGTCACAACATGTGTGTCTCTGCTGTGACAGACAGACTCAGAAAAAGAAGGGAGGGTGCGGGGGGGTGTCTGTCTTTCCCCATCGCTCCAGTGCAGCTTCAGTGAGACCTGAGTGAGACGAGCAAGAGCGGCTTGTTTATTTAAAATGATAAAGCGTGACCCGAACTGAGCCTTTAGTCCAGTCCCTCAGTGACCACTGAGCGGGCCAGGCCACCGGGAAATGTCCCGATGCTCCGATGGACAGTCCGCCCCTGGTTCTGTGTGTTACTTCAGACTAAATGTCTGTTCTTGCACTTTGTGAAATGCACGTCTAAATAAATGCGACGTATAGTCCGAAGCAACTTAGAGGCATTTTTTTTGACTGTGACGTATCATCCAGAAAATTCGGTATTTTGTTCAGATCCGATTCCTTAATAAGTTTAAAAATAGGCTCAAAGAAGCGTGTTACTTGTGTTTGACGTGGAGATTAAAATAACATGAAAGTGCGTGTAAAAATATCTCTTGACGAGGACGTAACTAGAAGAAGTTCAACCTTTTTCTACCTTTTTCTGTCCGTTCAGCTGAAACGTTTCCTGTGTTCTCCATCCTCAGAGTCTCTTGACAAATGGGAGCGCCTGACGGTGGCCGATGCCTTAGAACCTGTTCAGTTTGAGGATGGACAGAAGATCGTGGTGCAGGGAGAGCCTGGAGATGAGTTCTTCATCATCTTGGAGGTCTGATCTTTCCTCACATTCACTCACATAATCAGCACTTATTTTCCTCAGCTTAAATGTATATGTTTGTTGCAGCATTCATAGTTTAATTTGTTCTTTAGTGCATTAATTTGCCAAATTTTCAACAAGCTTTTAATGTGAAGTAAGTACCGGTAAGCAGAACTCTTTAAGGTTTTAGTTTTTTGTTAACGGGGGCAAACATTTTACGAGTTCAAGTTTCAGAAAATCATCAGAGTAATTAACAAATTCTCACAATTGTTTGAGCCCTAATTAAAATAAAAACAAATATTTTCTTTGTTTCTCTTTTTGATTACTTTAGGTTTTTATCGCAGCTAAAATAGATTTAAACACGTAACACCACTTAATGTTCTGTTTAATTCTCTTTTAGTCATGTTTTTCACATTTTTGTTACTTTATCTTTTAATTTGATTTCTAAGATGGCTAAAAATAAATGTTGTCTTGAAAAAGAAGAATGTTCAACATCATCTCCACATTTATTGACAAACCAAACTTCTAAAAGTGGATTTGTAAAGAAGAAAATACAATTGTCTTTACATAAATACCATGGCTCATAATTATGTTCTCATCCAAAATGATAGATTATTTAAACCTGTAAATATTTGAACAACGAAGTTTAACTGGTGTTTCATATATAATCAGGTCATTTATACACTGACAGATGTTATTTGGTTTATTTTTTCTTCCTCATTTAGTCGAAGTCTAGCACAACTCTGTGTTGAGGCCAAAATGATCTTAAACAGTAAAATAAAAGCAAACAAGGAAAGTAGAGTCTATTTTTAAAGTTATGTCTGTAAGAAATTACTTCTACAAGCGTTCAAACAATAATTAATGCACAGTAATTGAATGTGTATGATTCACAATTGGTTATAAGTAAGTTATTAAGTGTATTACATGTAATGTTAGAATTGGATGGACACATTCCAGGTGCATTGTTGGCTTTTAGCTCTTTTTCAGGGCTCTGTTTTAGAAGTTGTGCTTTCTGCTTCATGCAACGTACATTCACACTACATGCAAAAGTTGCCCTTATCTGATGCATTTATTTATTTTATTCAAATTTTATTGTGAGTATAAACATAACCCCCCCCCCCCCCCCCACCAAAAAAAAAATCAGACCAGGACACTTTCATATATGATACTTACTTAATCCGATACACATATATGATATGTAATCAAAGCAATCTCAGTCTGAATGTTCATGTTGCATTTCATCTGAGTTTTATGTCACTGATGTCGAGGTGTTTGGAACAATCCAAATATTGATGTTATTAATTCAACGTTGTGTAGTTTAAAGCTTGAGACTCTAGTTCTGAGATGAGGAAGCTCCCCAGATGTGAAAAACAACTTCAACTACACAATAGAAATCCTGTAGCTTTGATTATTTTTAATTGTCATTTTATATTTTTCAAAACTTTCGAATGAGCCATTTCCTGGATGACTGAGAATCGACACCAACATTGATGTCATCGATAAGATTGATACTTGAGTTCTTGTTGATTTTCAGTTCGTCGCTCTCGTTCCAGAAGTGCAAGTCTGTGCTTCAGGAGGCAAGAACAAATGTAAAAACTGGATTAAACGATCATGATGGATGATAATTTAAATGGTTCTGATTGTACAACAACTTCAGAATTGATACACCCGTACAAACGGCACACATAGTTCCTTCTGTAAACACAGTGTGCTGCGTGTGATGTCACGTCTTCTTCTGCGCATGTGGGTCACCTCAAATCTGTATAAACAGTTCAGACTGGAGTCTGTTTGCATTTGTAATTAAAATATCATGTAAACAACCAAAAAAAAACCACATCTGAGCAGAAACTTGGAGTTGAGCGTTAAGACCTGCAGCGTCACGTAGTCCAGGATGAGGAGATTAATTTAAACAATTACAAGGAAGTCTGGAGCGTTGGAAGAAAAATATAAAGAAATATGATCAAGACTTTTAGACGTATTTGAGATAAATTAGGTAAATGTTGCATCCATCCATCATCTTCCGCTTGTTCTGAAGTCGGGTCGTGGGGGCAGCAGCTTGAGCAGGGAGGTCCAGACATCTCTTCCTCTTCCAGCTCTTCTGGAAGAATTCCAAGGAGTTCCCAGGCCAACCGAGAGACTTAGTCTCTCCATCGTGTCCTGGGTCTTCCCCGGAGTCTCCTCCCAGTCGGCCATGCCCGAAGCACCTCAGGGAGACGCCCAGGTAGCACCTTACCAGATGCTCAAACCACCTAAACTGGCTCCTCTCAATGTGGAGCAGCGGTTCTACTGAGTCTCTCCTGATAACTGCGCTCCTCACCCTGTCTCTAAGGGAGAGTCCAGGTACCCTGCGGAGGAAACTCATTTCAACCTCCTGTATCCACGATCTCATTGTTTTGGTCAACTTGGGACCAGAAAGTCGCGGTTCGACTCCCAGTCATGCCCACATGTCACGGTGTCTCTGAGCAAGAAGACACCTAATAATTGCTCCCCGGGCGCCTACATAGCTGCCCACTGCTCCACCTGTGTGTATCTCAGGTGTGACGGGTTAAATGCAGAGAACTAATGTCATCATCGTACGGAACATACTTCCCCTTCCCTTAATAAAGTGATGTGTGTGTTTCCAGGGTTCTGCAGCTGTTTTGCAGCGGCGCTCTGAGAATGAGGAGTTTGTTGAAGTGGGAAGATTAGGACCATCAGATTACTTTGGTAAGAGTTAAAGCCATATTATTTCACACGGTTCAGGTGTAAATATTGTTTTGTTGTCAGGTAGTAGTTGGCAAAGAATGTGAAAAGCGTGATCTGTGACCGATTATGTCTTTTAAAAACAGTCTATATAAAATCAACCAGTGGTAGTTTCTGCAAGCTTGTTTCTTTGTGCTTTCCAGGTGAGATCGCTCTGCTGATGAACCGTCCCCGCGCTGCCACCGTGGTCGCCCGGGGGCCCCTGAAGTGCGTCAAGCTGGACCGGCCTCGCTTCGAGCGCGTCCTGGGGCCGTGCTCGGACATCCTCAAACGCAACATCCAACAGTACAACAGCTTCGTGTCGCTGTCCGTCTGAGGGAGCGTCAGTCCTGCTCCGCCCCTGCACCTCCTCTTCTTTCAGACCCAGGGTCCACAAATGCAAATAGCTTCTTTTTTTTGTGTGTGTCACTTTGCTCCCGGTTCTTTTAGCTTTTTTTAGTCCGCGTTTTGTTTTGACTACACAAATGATTTTGCTGTTGCAACCTGTCACACCGTGGTGACTTTTAGCCACTCACCAGCGCTGCTGTTTGCTACCTTATAAACACAGTTACATCACGTTACTTAGCTTTTTATTTTTATTTTTTGCTGGTTACACTTTTGTTTTAAATTTAAACTCGACGCAGGAGATCTGCTCTAGGGTCTCAGACTGGTGAGACAATCAGACCTTTAAAATCGCTTCTTTTCCTGTTTGTTCTTTCAGATGAGGTGACGACTGCTTCCTTGCTCTTTAAAAGTTCTCTTTTACAAGTTAGCTCGATTAGATACACAAAACAGAGCCTTTAAACTGTAGAGGGCGGGGAGTATGTCAGTCTTTTTTTTTTAGGTTTCAACTAAACGTGATGCTCCAGTTGCTGTTTTCGATTCTCTCTCAGCGGGTACGATGAGACAATGATGCGTCTGTTTTGCTTAGTTTGGGAGAGCTTGTACAAATCCGTTTTTTTTTTTTTTTTTTGTTTAAGTTGTGCAGCTACCAGGCTAGTGCCAAATGTTGATTATTGTCACACAGCGCAAAAAGATGCATAGCTGCAGAAATGCAACACGTGTTCTGTTCCCTGGAGCTCCAACAGGAAATACCCTCACTGTCCTTTTAATCTGAACAACCATACAAGAACTGCCTTGAACACTTTGAGGGGAATAAATACACGATTAGAAAAGAAAACAGACGAGTATTAAGCGATTTTCAGTATTCATTTTATTTAGTATATACCAAATAACTTGGTCACTCTTCTGCTATGATTTATAATCTGATGTTATTATACTATAGTTTAAATATTCATAGTTCTATTATTGAGAAAACTATTAAAAACACACAAAAAAAACGTATGGTTTTGCGTGGTGGTGAACTTTAAAAGAATCTATATGTTTAACTGTCTTTTGTAAACACTTATTTTTCCATAAATTCTATTTTAGGTGTTCAGTGCCACAAAGTAAATAAATGACGACACAACAGTATGTACTTGTATTGTGTTAAAAAAAAAAACATCACAGGAAATCTTTTTGAGAATAAATCAAAAGGCTTATCACAGGTTTATTAAAGCAAGTAGTTTTCAGGGTGGGGGGCGGATTTTTGGAGTATTTATGTATCAAAATGAGCTGACGGGCGGAATGAGCCGGTGTTTATTTCAGACTAGTGTCATTGCTTCTTGCCTGTTTGAAAAGGTGGCTCTTTTCATCCGAGTAGCTTGTGTGACCTGTTCTCTTTGCTTACCTGGCATGATGTTTAGGCATCTAGTGATCCGGTGGGAATGGAAGTGTGTTTAAAAAAAAAAAAAAAGTCCTGCAGCTTGGTGCCGAAGCAGGAACTTTGTCAAATATTGGGTTTGTACTCCCTCGCTTAACTGCTTCATGACTATTTAGATGGCATCTGATGTTATTTTTTATTTTTTTTGTACAATGTTCCCCAAATGGGACTGAGTTATAGGCTGAACTTTTCATTCCTGCCTCGCTGTCTTTTACCAGAAATGACCTATAATCAGTCGTGTCTCTATTTAGTCTCTTTGGTTGGTTGGTACCGTTTGCAGCTCGGTGAGAGGAACGTTCATTTACCATCTGTTCTCCCTAACCCTCAGGTTATCCTCATGGATGTGGTGGCTTTGTGTCCATTGACAACACATCCTGTTTATCCTCGTTTGACAGGAAATGACTCTGTCAGGGTGAAAGGATTCACATTTTTGTGTAAATAGCTGCATCTTAGGGTTTTAGTCCAATACGTTTGTAGCCACACTGCAGTCGTCCCGGTTTGCCTTAGCTTACTTAACCTGGGCTCACATTAGTAGTCACTCCTGCTTCAGCCTGACTTCAGAGAGAGTGATGGGTGTGCAGTGCAGAGAGCTGCAGGCCATCAGAGGACCATTCTTTTTCTATTCTACACTGTATTTAGTTTTGCCTCCTATATGTGCAAAGATGTTGATCCTTTTGGTATAGATTGTTCCAGATGGCAGTTTAAGCAATAAAAAACGTAAAAAAAAATCTACTTCTACTGTTGTTACTGGCTTGATCAATAAAGATTTGGTTTGAATTAAAGGCCTAACTAACGGTATTGATATTAACTGCTGGCTTTTAGGCCACAGATTTAAACTAAAATCTTCTCATGTAAATGCTGCTGTCGATCCTCAAATACAGGTCCTTCTCAAAAAATAGCTTATTGTGATAAAGGTCAATATTTTCCATAATGTAATGATAAAAATGAAACTTTTGTATATTTCAGATTCATTGCACACCAACTGAAATATTTCAGGTCTTTAATTGTTTTAATACTGATGATTATGGCATACAGCTCATGAAAACCCAAAATGCCTGTCCCAAAAAATTAGCATATCATGAAAAGGTTCTCTAAACAAGCTATTAACCTAACCATCTGAATCAACGACGTAACTCTAAACACCTGCAAAAGATTCCTGAGGCTTTTAAAAACTCCCAGCCTTGTTCATTACTCAAAACCACAATCATGGGTAAGACTGCCGACCTGACTGCTGTCCAGAAGGCCATCATTGACACCCTCAAGCAAGAGGGTAAGACACAGAAATAAATTGCTGAATGAATAGGCTGTTCCCAGAGTGCTGTATCAAGGCACCTCAGTGGGAAGTCTGTGGGAAGGGAAAAGTGTGGCAGAAAACGCTGCACAATGAGAAGAGGTGACCGGACCCTGAGGAGGATTGTGGAGAAGGGCCGATTCCAGACCTTGGGGGACCTGCGGAAGCAGTGGACTGAGTCTGGAGTAGAAACATCCAGAGCCACCGTGCACAGGCGTGTGCAGGAAATGGGCTACAGGTGCCGCATTCCCCAGGTCAAGCCACTTTTGAACCAGAAACAGCGGCAGAAGCGCCTGACCTGGGCTACAGAGAAGCAGCACTGGACTGTTGCTGTGGTCCAAAGTACTTTTTTCGGATGAAAGCAAATTTTGCATGTCATTCGGAAATCAAGGTGCCAGAGTCTGGAGGAAGACTGGGGAGAAGGAAATGCCAAAATGCCAGAAGTCCAGTGTGAAGCACCCACAGTCAGTGATGGTCTGGGGTGTCATGTCATCTGCTGGTGTTGGTCCACTGTGTTTTATCAAGGGCAGGGTCAATGCAGCTAGCTATCAGGAGATTTTGGAGCACTTCATGCTTCCATCTGCTGAAAAGCTTTATGGAGATGAAGATTTCATTTTTCAGCACGACCTGGCACCTGCTCACAGTGCCAAAACCACTGGTAACTGGTTTACTGACCATGGTATTACTGTGCTCAATTGGCCTGCCAACTCTCCTGACCTGAACCCCATAGAGAACCTGTGGGATATTGTGAAGAGAAAGTTGAGAGACACAAGACCCAACACTCTGGATGAGCTTAAGGCCGCTATCGAAGCATCCTGGGCCTCCATAACACCTCAGCAGTGCCACAGGCTGATTGCCTCCATGCCACGCTGCATTGAAGCAGACATTCATGCAAAAGGATTCCCAACCAAGTATTGAGTGCATAACTGAACATGATTATTTGAAGGTTGGCGTTTTTTAACACTTGTCTTTCATTGGTGGGATGAAATATGAAAATTTTTTGGGACAGGCATTTTGGGTTTTCATGAGCTGTATGCCATAATCATCAGTATTAAAACAATTAAAGACCTGAAATATTTCAGTTGGTGTGCAATGAATCTGAAATATATGAAAGTTTCATTTTCATCATTACATTATGGAATATAATGACCTTTATCACAATATGCTATTTTTTTTGAGAAGGACCTGTACATGCGAGTTTGTTGGCGCTCAGGATAATGACTCTCAGCTACTACCACACTAGATTTGAGCTCACTAACACTGTTGCAGCTGGTGTTGAGGTGTTTGGTGGCGGGCAATAAAGATTGGGAACTTGTAGCTATAACCAATGATTACTTTCATTAAAGTAATTTCTTCAGATCCAGCAATGTTCACTCACGTCATCTGGATGGTTTCTTTATTTTGTGTGTGCTGAGTCGTTTTGTCTTCCATCCAGAAGTCTTCATCAGTCTGAGGAAACGCCTTCAGAGTCAAGGTAGTCCAACCACAGTGAGCTGCAGGTGTCGCAAAGTGTTCGCAAATGGGAGTCTGGTGGAAATAGTGTCTGTTTTTAATTATTCAACACTTCAGCTAATTATTTAAAGATGTACAAAAAGCACTGCACTGCTGGGTCATTGCATGTCTGATGGGGTGCAGTTCCTCATGTGGACAACAGGGGGAGACATCTAGCTACTGATGGCTGATTTGCAGCTGGAAAAGATTTCTCCGTTCCATCCTGTGTTCTGCATTTCAGACAGAAATACCCATCCCACATAAATCAGCACCTATTTTACAAAGCATAACCGCGTAACACGTGCTTGATAGAACAGTTTAATGTATATTGACCACTTGTCATGTATTTGATATAAATATATGAAACTTAACAGAAACTTAACATGATTGTTAACTTTCTAAGCTGAAGCCCATATTGTCCAAAAATAACCTGGAGACAGTAATACACGCATTCTTTACATCCAGAGTCGATTACTGCAATTCACTCCTGTTTGGTATCAGTCTATTGCCAGACTACAACTGGTCCAGAATGCTGTAGTCTGATTTTTAACCAGTACAGGCAAAAGAGAGCACATTACACCAGTTTTGGCCTCACTGCACTGGCTACCGGTTCACCTTCGAATCCAGTTCAAAATACTCATGTATGTCTACAAATCACTGAACAGTTTGCCCCCCCCCCCCCC